ATCGTTACAGAAGAAACGCAGACCTGGATCCGGGCTCTTCACATTCTTGCCAGGAAATGATTTTCAACTACTTTGTTTTAACACCTTCACCCCTGAATTCTTTGTAACTACAGCTCAACTCAGGGGCTAAAATACACCTATTCATGCCTTTGTAAAGTCTGCACGTGTTTACAATTTGGGATGGCTATGTGAAAACACACTTTTCTACTGATCTTCAAGGCAAGCAGCTGGGCCATCCTAATGGATTCTTCTCATCCCCAGGCCATTAGGGCACAAGGCCATGGGTTCCGGGCATGGAAAACCCTCTGGCGTTGTGTCTTAGATCTCTATGGCCCAGGCTGCTGAGGACTCTTGATCAGTGGATGGTCAGTGGCCTGTCAACCGCCTGGCAAAGTAGAAGCCAACGGAAGTTCTGACAGTCACAAATGCAGGAGGAAGAAGATGTCATGTGAAGAACACACTCACATAAAGGGTTGCATCTCTACTAACATGAAAATGGTCTCTATCTTCCAATGTACTACAAATTTGAGGTCCCCCATCCACTCAAAAAGAAGAGAATTAATCCCTAACTTTTTATATCATAAATTATCAAGCCTACCAAAAAGTTTCAAGAGCAGCAGCATGACAATTGTATACTCCATATTCCGATCCAACACCTCACTACATTTCCTTCCTCGATCCCTCCTTCCCTCCCTCTCTCCCACCCTCTCCCTTTGTCCGTGTGTGCGCGCATAAAAGGATACACTACATGCTTCTTTTTGCTTAACAATTAGAAAATTAGTTGGATACATTGTGACACTTCATCTCTCAATTCTCTGGCTTGCACATCTGTCAACATCGAGAGCATTCCCCTATATACGCAACTATTTTTTGACAAGATCGTTACTACATGAAGGAAATTCAACGATGAGAGAGAATACTATTATCTAATATTTGACCCACATGCAAATGTCCCCATTGTCCCAATAATGTCTATTGTAGTTGTTCTTTCTCAGTTGGGGACCACACATGGCCCTTGGCTGTCAGGGTGCCTTATCACCTTGGTCACCATTTATCTGCAACCATTTTCTAGGCTTTGGGGGCGGGAGGCGTCTTCACTGACACTGACAGTGTTAAGGGGGAAGGCCAGCTGTTTCAGGTGTGTCCTTCGATTTAGATTTGTCTGTTTCCTCAGAAGTGGACTTAGGCTAAATATTTTGGCAGATATTCTGTCAAGATGGTGCTGGGACCTCTTAGTGCATCAATGGGACACCTGCCATCATTTGAACCCATGGAGGGTATTGACAAGTCTGGTCATGGCAAATTGACTGTTTAAAGCTACAATGACTTAACGTGAACACAAAGCCATTTGCACGCCTTCATTTTAAACTGTTAACAGTTTTTCAAACTCTTACTTCTTGATAACGTACTCAACCCAGCTCTCTTTCATCTAACATACTAACTCATTTCCTTCTAAACCTGAAAATGCTAACTCCATTCTATAATAAAAGATGATATGAACCTTAAATACTAAGGACTTCACCAAGAAGGTGGTTTTGCACTGGGTCTTGATAAATAAATAAGATTTTATCAAGAAGAGCAAGGGGACAGTATTACATTCATTAGCAGTATCATGAGAAAGGCATCGTACCTGAAAATAAATAATGTTTGAGGAAGTGGGAGCTGACTACAGTCAACCAGGCAAGAGATGAGAAAGACCTGCATTAGGCCTTGTCTAGTGGCCAAAGAAATGTGAAGAAGTAGGCAGACTGGAGAAAGTTGCCAAAATCTCTGATAGCTGAACTGGGCAACTGCCAGTCTATGATACCTTTACTGACATAGGGAAATAGGAGGGGCAGGAGTGGTCACTGAAGTTTCATTTCAACGTGTTAAGTTTGATGTGCTGGTAGGACGTTCAGATGAAGCTGTACAATACACAGAACAAGAGGTCTGGAGTTCAGGTGAGGAACAATGATTTGGGTCAATGCTACGACAAGTTGAAGTCATGAAGAAGCCAAGAAAATGGGTTTGGACAGGGAGCAGTCAGTAGGTTTGGAGAGAGAAGCCTGGAACAACATTAACAGAATGGGATACAAGGAAAAAGGTGGTAAGGTAAGTCTGTTTCTTGCTAAGACCCCAACTAGCACCCTGGTTTTTGGAAACTTTGATCTGAAAGTAATTGAAAGTCAGGAAAAGGCTTTGACCAGATTTGCAAATTCAGGACATTAGTAAGCAGCAGTAATTAACTATACTTAGGTAAAGATTTTTTAGACGAAAGATAACTTCATTGTGTGTTTTTTTTAAATAACACTAAGCAATTGACCCAATTGTTCCACTATTTAACTGGAGATGGTATCAGACTCCATGGGTTAAGGGCTCAGTCCCACAGGACTGCCCTCACTGCAAATGGCCATTACAAGTCCAGGTTATCACCTGTGCTTCTGACCAGCTGACTGTTAGTCCAAGTTTCACGTGACCCCCTCCTTGGGTTTGATTAATTTACTCAAGAGGCTTACAGTGAAACATTTACTTATGTTTACCAGTTTCTTATAAAGGGTATTATAAAGGATACAGATGAATAGCCAGATTTTTTAAAGTATACAGAAAAACAGCTGTGGGAAAGAACAGGAAGCTCCCATGCTCTCCGGGCCCACCACTGTCCCCAAATTCCCACAGCCTCAGCAACCTGGAATCTCTCTGGCCCCATCCTTTTGGGGTTTTATGAAGACTTTATTACAACACATAAGCATGACTGATTAAACCACTGGCCAGAAGTGACTGAATTCGAGCTCAATCCCCTCTCCCCTTCCAGAGGTGGGGGATGGGGTGGGACTGAAAGTTCCAACCTTTTGATCACCTGGTTGGTTTCCCTGGCAACCAGCATCCAGCCTTGGAGGGAAGGGGACTATTCAAAAGTCACCTCACTGACATTAACTCAGGTGTGGTTGAACAGGGGTTGCTACACCTTTAGCAAAGGTGTAAAAGATACACCTTTAACCTTCATGTAACTGAAGCTATTTCAGGAACCAATGACAAAAAATAAATATTATTAGACAATGCTCACACTGCTCCTGTTGCGTAGGAAATCCAAGGGTTTTAAGAGCTCTGGCCAGAAGTGGACAAAAAGCAAATACATATTTCATATTATAAATCATGGTATCACATTAATAAATTGGTAAGGAGAATATGAAGATGAAGGTCAGTGGGAAAACGGTAGCTGAAAAAGGTCAAGAAAAAGGGAAAATGATGGAAAGGACAAAGATGAATGGAAATTCAAGTGAAGAAGGAAAAAGAAGAAATAAAAGTGAAGGACATAAATGGAGGAAAGCAACCAAGGCCCCTTCCAATCTTAAATTGCCCATCTGCTCCAAAGTACAGGCAATATGTAAAAAAGAACATTTGAGCTACAATAAGAAACGATATAAAGGTGAACATAAATATCCCAACCCTGAGTTTTACTAAAATTACTGATGATTCACATTCTAAATTAAGGGTTCAAAATCCTTTTCTCTGTAGCTTCTGGTCTCAGAGTGGCTTGCTTCATTCTGTTCCCATGGATTTTACCAGGCCCCCTTTCCTGCCTTCATCCTTCGTGTGTTGCTCCTATAGCTTTCACCCACTGAGGTCTGGAGCTGCCACAGGCCTGGGGCCAACAGGAGTTCGTCAGTATGGTTAAGACTATGGCCTTAACATTTGGAAGAGGTGGATTTAATACAAAGCTTTACAGTGATCTATTACATATGAATATATGCAACATATGATATACACCTATAGACTGGTTATTCATAAAATTTTCAAATTCATTCCTTCCAAACCTGTCTATCTAGTTATCTATTAACTTACTTGGTAACATGATTCTGACAAAGTTGGAAGGAATTTTAATGAATAATCATTAACTTACTACTAACCAGTATGGGAAATGGAATATATTCACAGAAATAGCAACTCTTACAATAAATAAGAAACCTACATTCAACTTGCTAGAACCATGTACTTATTATCATGACCCTTACAGTTCTCAGACACCATTGGGTTTTTTTTAATGTCTATTTTCAGTTAGTCATCGTGATACGGCTATAAAACTTCTCAACAATCAGTAAGGTGGCAGTAGGAGCCTGCCTAAATTCTTGACATTTTTCTTATTGTTTTCTGCAAAACTGCCTGCAGAGGAGGCAGTCATAATAGAAACAGTCAGGGCGCTGCCACCAGGGCCCACACATCCTCGGCTTTCTGTGCACACGACCTGAGTGTGTGGGTGCTTATACATGCGCAGGTGCCAAGTGCCTTCCACAACTAAGGTGTGTTTGCCCTCTTGACCTCCCACCTTTTCCTTCTTTTACACAAAAGGCAACAGCAATTAAATAATTAAAATGAGTTGCCGAGAACTGTGAAACATGTCAATGCATGAAAAAAAATCCCACTTCTGACCATATGTGAACACATGAGTTTCTCTGTTTTGGGCGGGTAGGTTCAGAGGGCAAGGGCTTTGCTTCAGCAACTCTCCACATGACATTACGGTCATCTTAGTGTCCCCTACGTCTTTAGAAGAGTGAGTCCACAAATGTGGTATTTAAATACAAGTAGACTTTTAAAATCAAAAACAGCAATTTATCATGAAAGTGCTGCTTGTTAATCATGAAATGCTCTTTCTCTCTACCTTGTCTCCCCCTACCCCATTCCAGGGGAATGCAGTGAAATACTGAAATGAGAAACCATAATTACGATCAAATTCCTGCCCTGGGGTCAGCCTAATTATCCACCTTCAACCTGAAACAAATTTACCCTTTTAAAAGTAAAGGCCCTTATCACTCATGGGGAAAATACAAACAAAGATTAAGGTGACATTTAGGCATAACTGCAACCTTTCATTTTTAAGAGACCTCTTGCTTTAATGGCTTCAATGCATTCTCATTCAAGTGCAATACGTATTGCAAGGGAGAATTGGAATAAATGGCGCTGTTATGACCCCGAGGTTAGAGCAAAGGAATATTGGAGAATAAATCTCAATTCTGGATACTCACCAGTCCTGCAATGGGGGTAGGCAATCTATTGATCTTTTTAACAAGTCCTGGCTTTATAGCATTCAGCAACCTGTCATGGAAAAGGCAGAATGTCAAATGAGACATAAACCAAGATGGATCACACAAATCACCTTTATCCGGGGCTATAGTTAAATTGCTGAATAGAAAAGCAGCAAATTTAAAGCATGTGGTAAATCTCAATAATCTACGAGCCTTAGTGCATACAGGTGAAGAGCTTTGCCAACATCGAGTTTGTCCATGGCAGGTGAAGCTCTGGAATTTGGAAATGTTGGCAGAGAAGAAAGGTTGGACACTGGGAGATGCCTCAGGGGAAAGGACAAACGTGGGAGCTGGGGGGAAGCTGGGAGGGAACTGTCTAGGATCAGAGCCAGGTCTAACTACCCAGGCGAGGCTTGGTCCCAGTTCTCCTAGCCAAGGCAGGATCTTTCCTGGGATGTACTAAGTTCAGAGACCAACATCTACCTTCCCAAATAATTTGCCAAGACTCATTCTACCTCCAGACATTCTTACTCTTTGAGGAGAGTAGCTTGTTAAATGTGACTGAGCCTCCCTTAAGAAAGGGCAGAATATATTTAGCAAGAGGTTAACCAATCATGTCCTGAAGATTTTAAACAAAGCTGACCACAAATCCCTAGGTACAAAAGATATGTGAGAAGAATGTTTTGAGGTTAAAGGTTGTAATCACGTAAAAATGGTTACACAACAAGGGGAATGCCAGAGGAAAAAATTATAATGACCTGTATTTTCTGTGTGTAATGCACACCCATGCTGTTGACCCAAATTTTCAGGAAAAAAATCTCTTGTTTTAGTTTTTGAATTCCATTTTTATTTATTTAGATATTTGTTTTTTGTGTGTTATAAGGGAATTTTAGCATTTATTTTTTAACATTACGGCACAAGAAATTTTATGTAATAAATAATTACAAAACACAAGAACAAATACAAGGTATTTCAGGTACTACCCATCCTTATTTTTCCCTCAAAAATTTGGGCAAAAAGTACGTATTACATATGGCAAAATATGGTCCTTGTCTTCAGAAAACACCAATTCAGAGTGAAAAGAAAGAAGAAAAGGCAACTTGTCAAACTAAAACAGGGTTGGCATCAGGGTGACACAGTGGAATGCAGCGTTCGCGAGCGAGGGTGTTCGTAAAGGGATAGCTGGAGGTAAGGAAGGGGCCGCAGAACTAGAGCATTTATTCCCATGTTCAGGAATGTGAGGAGAGGCAGTCAGGTACCTCATCTCAGGCTGCGGCATCACAAGAAACTTGGGGGAGGAACTTCCTATAACCCAGGGGTCAGCAAGCTCCAATCCATGGGCCAAATTTGGCCCAATACCTGTTTTACTGGAAAACAGCTATGCCCATTCACTTACATGTTTTCTATTGATGCATTTGCGCAGGGCTGAGTAGTTACAACAGAGAACATATGGTCCACAAAGCATGCAATTTTTACTAGTTGGCCCTTTATAGAAAAAGTTTGCCAACCTCTATTACACAGGCAAACTTCGAAGATATTGTGGATTCAGTTCCAGACCACCGCGATTAAGTGACTATTGCAACAAAGCCACTCAAAATCTTTTTGGTGGTGGAGGGGCTTGCCTTCAATTTATAAAACACTCAACATCAGTGAAGCAAAGTAAAATGAAATGCAATAAAATGAGGTATGCCTATAAATCATGCAATCCAAGATTATAGTCAATTGTGAAGAATCTGTCCTTAATAGATTTCTACAAACCTATAACAACAAAAGACTCTTTGAAATAGTTTAATGGTTAGTCTTGAATGCAGCCTATATTTCACTTTGACACCACTGTGCATTGATATATTAAGAAATATCCCTACTACTGTATGACAGATGGAGTATTCTGTTTTTTCACCAAGGACTTTGCCTGTTCCTGGTAACTTTTGCTGCTATTCCAACATGCTGCCACCAACAGGTGACACCGGAGAGGACACATGCCTGCTTGCCCACCACGATGGAGCTCTTTTCATGAACGCATTTAGTTTTAACCATGAATTTAGTCTTTTTTGAAAAGTGTTTGCTTATAACTCTATTTGGAATTATTAAAACTTGCTTATAACCTAAGTTGGAAGGCAACTTGTTCGTGCTTTACACTTTACAGTTTAGGAAGTTGAGGGCTGAGAAAGTTGATGCCCGATGCTGAGTGATGAGGAACTGGCCCAGAGCTGAGGAGCACAGTAAGGCCCGGCACCCAGGCTTCCTGAGTCAGCACGTGCCCTTATTATACAGGGTTCACATGCCACATCTCCTGGCTTCAAATAAACAGACAGAGATGATGTCTCCAAAGCAGTTTTAACTGTACAGAAATGTAAAGATACATGACTTTTCTCACTAGTTCTTAACAATGCCATGTTAAATTGGATTTTAAAATAGTGTTTGTGCACAGCACTGATAATTTAAAAGGAATCAGAAGGATATTTGATAAACTGTAAGTCTTGTTGGCACCCCGGCCCCACAAGGCCCCAGAAGGAAACTTTAAAGGCTTTCCAAGGAAAATGTATAACAATACATTTTTTTAAAAAAGACAGATGTGGCATGTACCATACACTGTCCTACACCTTTTTTTCTCCTTAATGACATGTCTTGGAAGTTGAACAATTTGCCTTGAAGAGTGTGCCTTATCAATCCACGGGGGCCTGTGTCCTCTTTAGCAGCTGTGACTCCAGGCCAATGGGCGGGCAGGAGGGGGAGGGCACCGGATCCTGAGGCAGCCGACTGAAGCCAACACCCTGCGGGTCCTCACTGGGGCCGTTACTTTGGGCAGGTCCATTAGCCTCGGTGTTCTCATCTGTAATATGGAAATGTTGTGGCACCAATTGCACGGGTGTCGCGGAGTCTTCAATGTGACAAAATATGCAAGAAGCTCGCACAGAGCCTGGTGCACAGTAAGTTCTCTATGTAAATGTTTCTCTGTATTTGTGTGCGTAGTAATTCAATTCACAGCATTTTAGATCAACTATTTTCTCTAATGTTTGAGACATTTCTAGTGAAATAAAATGCTGTTGTCACCAGATATTCCCAAGCTTTTTGCTAATTAACTAAAGTAGAAAAAAATAATAAACACCCTTCCCACCAAAAAAATTGTAAGTTAAAAATTACCTTTTAAAGAGGCACTCTTTGGTTATCCATATCTAAAACTTGTTTTAAAACTTTTAGTATCATGGCTCTACCAAGTCCTCTTTTAATTAAAAAGTGGGCAAAGGACTTGAACAGACACTTCTCCAAGGAGGACATACGGAGGATCCAGAGACGCATGAAAAGATGCTCAGTATCACTAGCTATCAGAGAGATGCAAATTAAAGCCACAACGAGATACCACTTTACACTGGTCAAAATGGCCATTATGACCAAAGCAACAAACAGCAAGTGTCGGAGAGGTTGTGGGGAAAAGGGGACCACAACCTTTTGTTGGTGGGATTGCAGACTGGTACAACCACTATGGAAAACAGTATGGAATTTTCTAATACAACTAAAAGTGGATCTGCCTTTTGACCCAGCAATTCCACTGCTAGGATTATATCCTAAGAACCCCAAAACACCGATCCAACAGAACCTATGCATCCCAATGCTTATAGCAATACAATTTACAATAGCCAAGAGTTGGAAGCAACCAAGGTGCCCAGCAGTAAACGAATGGAGCCAAAAACTATGGTACATTTACACAATGGAATTCTATGCAGCAGAAAGAAAGGAGCTCCTACCCTTTGCAACAGCATGGATGGAACTGGAAAGCATTATGCTGAGTGAAATAAGCCAGGCAGAGAGGGACAAATACCATATGACCTCACCTTTAACAGGAACCTAAACGACAAAACAAACAAGCAAGCAACATATAACCGAAGAGACTGAAATAGAGAACAGGCTGGCAGTGACCTGACAGGACAGTGGGGGAGTTTCAAAGGAAAAGGGGAAGAGTTTACAGGAACAAGTATAAAGGACACATGGACAAAAACAAGGGGGGAGGGGGTGGAAATAGGAGGGAGGTGGGGAGCGCTGGGGGGTGGGCTGGGATGGGAGTATAAGACAGAAAACTGTACTTGAACAATAATTAAATTTAAAAAAGAGCAAGAAAAATCTATGACATCTCTCAAAATTTTTAACCACATATCAAAAAAATAAAAAGCCAATGTGCTCTCAAACATTTGGAATATTTTCAAAACCAACACAGGTGTATGTTTTCATACACACACTGCCCGAGTCTCATACACAGTTACGAAACACAACTATAAAAGATAACATTGAATTCACATTGCAGAAATGTCCAACACCTGCGTACCTTGTATTCTGCATTGAACTGAGGGCATTTTTGTATATAATAGGAGTCCAGTGAGAAAGTTTCACAGAACAGCTGCAAGTCAGAGTCAAGGCTACTCGCTTGCAATTTTACTAAAAAACACTACTGCCTTCCTGTGCAAATTAAAATATAAATATTTTCAATGAATACTTAATGATGATGTGCTTTAAAGCAATGACATTCGATGTTGACAAACCTTCTGAGACGCACTGTCCTCCAGCTGCCCTGTCCATACAGACAGGCCGCGCGTTCTCTCCATCACTTTTGCAGACAGAGAGACTAAGCCCTGACCAGAGGTGAAGACTCCCCCAGAGATGTTTCTGGCTAGCGTGCAGCACACAGAGACAGTCTTCGCATCTCAAGCCGGGCCTTTTAATATGTAACTTGGTTCTTGAGAAAATCCGGCTTTAGTATGTAAGCAAAACATAAATCAACACACACATACATACACCCCACAGAAAAACTGTCTACATACAATGGGACAATATCAACAGTCGGTGGGATTGAAAAGAAAATGGATGGAAGAGGGTGTCTGCTGGCAGATGGTTACATATAAGACTCACCAGATCCAAGTTTGGTCTGTGGGTGACCTACCACCTCATATAAGGGGCTGCAGAGAATGCAAGGTGGCCATTCACCCCGGCTGAGAAGAACCCCACACCAATTTCCCACCTGGTCTGTGATCTCCCCAAAACCTGTAGCTAGAAGGCCCGAACAAGTAATTTGCTCTC